AAACCCCCCGCGGATTTCCCTATTACGGCTTCTGAAATTAACATGCCCCTTCCGGAAAAGGGGCCAGTGTAGACGTAGCCGAAGTGTCTTGCATTCCAATTAAGCTTGCTTATTCAACTTGTGTGCCTCATACACATCTACAACCATTATAAAAAGGAAAGTTCAGATGAAAATACAGGCTATGCAGAACACAAATTCCTCTATTTAATAATTTTGGAAAGTCCTGGGGTTTTTGACTCCACAATTCCTAACTGCATCAATGAACCACATAGCTAGTATTTTGAAAATTTAGGAATACCACTTGCTTTAAAAATATACCTATTCACGCTATTTAATCAGCTTTCATTTACCCGCCCTTGATGGTCAAACCAAATTTTAAGAAACATGGGATAAATCTATCCTGAAAATGGGACAGATGAGTATTCGAACAGTTTACAGTCACTGAACTGTTTTAGTAACATCTGTCTTGTTACCAACAATTGTTCAAAACTCTGTACTTTTAAGTACTAAAAACCATTGAGCTATATATTTTAGAAATATGTGTCTGTCCATCCATGAGTCTCTTTGTTCAAGCACTCCTCCTAAATGGAAGAGCTAGGGCACCAAATTTGGTATAGAGCTCTTATTATAACCTGAAAAGCAAGTTATAATAAGAAAAGCAAGGTCAGGGTTTGGTTCTGCTAGCTTAATGGTATGAGTGCGGAATGTGATGGTTTTGTATCAAACAGAAAGGAAGGGGTATGAGAGCAGGGACAGTTATACTCACCCATGATCACAGGCGGCAGCAAGGGCCTCAGCAAGCAGCCATGGGGTTGGCAGCATTCGCCACCCCAGCCTGCCTTTTGCCCATTCCCAGCTTCTAGCAAAAACAGACTATGGTCAACCATCTCTGGCCATCCTGGCTAACAGCCATTGATCGAGCCATCTTCCATAAACCTGCCTCATTCTTTTTAAAACTAGGGATGTTAAAATGTGTGTAAGAAGTGGGTCTCAAGGAGTGAGTTTTGCCCCCGAAAGTTCATGATACTATATTTTGGTAAGTCTCTAAGGTGCCACAGGACTACTCATTCTTTTTAAAGCAAAGATGTTGTGCTTAGGAGGAAATAAAAATTTCTTGTCGTCAATGGAATAATCTCACATTTTCACCTTTAATAGTTGAGACATTTAAGCAATGGTCCTCTCTAACCTTTCAGTACATCTACTTTGAGAGTCACCAAGGGTGTATCTAGACAACGCGGAATGGTCAAAAGAGGATATGGAAATTCTGTGGGAATTTGCATATCTTCTTCCAATCGCACTTTCAAAAACAGAACTTTCGCAAGTGAAAGTAATTAAGACGCGGCTTTTTTGGTGAACTGCCCCCTTCATCAAAAAAGCTGCTTTTCCTCAAAAAAGGAGGTTTATGCGGCTTTTTGACAAAGGGAGGGGGGGGAGATTAGATGAAAAAGCCGTATCTTAATTACTTAATTCCCGTGGAATTTGCATATCTTCTTTCGACCATTCCCTATAGTCTAGATGAGCCCATGGTAAGTAATTATCTCAAGGAAATGTCATTGTAGGGTCTAGTAATCCCCTGGCATTTAGCACAAATAAACAGTCTCACAATAACATGGTATACATTAATGAAGCACAGATATTACAAATGAAATAGTGAATTCTTTATGTTGCTGTAGCTAATCTGTTCATTATAAGTCTTGTTACTACGTGCACAATATTAGAATGATGATGATTTAGAAGTAATTCAACTGAAGTATTTACGTTTACAGAGCCTCGGTACTGGAACTCAGTGAATGATAATTGTTTATTAAAGGGCTCTTATACAACATAGAATATACATATTGAGGAATAGGAATCACTCAGAATGGCTTCTTACAAAATAAGTCTACATTTCAAACAACTAAAGCACCATTCTCTAGTGGGCCAGTAGCAATCTAACACTGGGCTTCCAGATTGGAGAAGTTAATGTTTCAGACATGAAATGTAAAGCTTGATCTGTGCTAATCTGAAGTGAACATGCAGCAGCACGCTTCATTTTTAGTGCCTGCCCCTGAATGTTAGTACACGGGGGTGGGTCACAGTTTATCTTAACACTCCTGTGCTACTGTGCAAATAAGCACAAGTATCTGATTTATCATATTCATGGCCATGTTCTGCAGACTACAAGTGAGTGTAAAACAATCTACTTCCCACAACAATAAATGGTTCCTTTGGAACTATAATATAATACAAGTGAAACAGGCAAAACAAAAACAAAAAAAAAATCACAAAATAATTTAAAAATAACTGAAGGTAAAAAATGCTACGCATTGGAAAAATTCTGCTCCACGCAGGTAAAAGAAACCACTTAGCTTATTTAAAAAAAAAAAGCAGAACAAAACTCAGAATAACGATCTGTGAGAATAGTGATAGAAATCTGTGAGAAATCTGTGAGAACTGTGAGAACAATTTCATCCTGATGTCAATTTGGGTAGAGACCCTTTCCTTTCAAGAGAATAAAAAATTAGAATTAATTTATTTCATGATTCCACAAAATATGCGAAGTGGATATTTGTCATGGAAGAAGTAGTGATGATAAAGCCACCACCATTACATTTTGTTTAATAGTAGACAAAAGTTTTAACATTATCACCTTGTCTCCCCTTAAATATCATTTGCTCCTCCAGCACATCTTCCAAACCCCTTCCATAATGTATTTTGCCTATGATCGCACTGTAAGAAATATCCAACACTTTCAATTAGTGGTGGAAGGTGGCTGAAAGCGCAAATTGTTTAGGTGCAACTTAGTATTTCCGTTTAAAGAAAATAAAGCACAGTTCTGCTTTGCATCAAAAATATAAGGTGGTATGAATGCAAGTATGAGCAGGTCAGTACTATTTTCATATCTTTAGAAGATGTCCTGTGGCAGCTGGGAGAAAAGTCAATACAATGATGCAGCAAGCCAACATTAAATTAAAAAAATTCTAAAAATTGTAAATAGAAGACACTGACTGAATTTTCTGACCACTTTGCTACACTCCCACAACATTATTCCCTTTCTAGGAGATTTATTGCACTTCTTGGGAGGTTACACTCATCCATTCTGTCTCAAGATTGAAGGACACCAACCCAGCTGCAGCATAACCCCTCAGAAATGCATTGCCCATAGCTTGATGAAGTAGTAAGATACCACACTACATGGTTCTTTGTAGTTTATTCAGTAACTTTTTCTGGAAATGAATAGTAGGAGTCAGATCATGTTTTGATGCAAACCAATGATTTTCAGTGAACCTGAGATGTTACTACTTGATAGTGAAACTTTAAGAATACATCCTCTCTTTTGTTGTTCTGATAGCTCACAATTCCCATAAACATTTTAACCACCACTCTCCAGGATGCAAGACCTTTTGCTCAAGAATTCCCTTTCAGGATTATTTAAAAAAAAACAATCCCTGGCTGTTCTTCCACCAAAAATGTAAACTGTATGCTCTACTACCATGACTGAGTAGCACAAAGTAATGGTCAATATGATTCCATGATCTTAAAACTGCACATCCACCCAGATGAAGTGGGAATCAAATCAAATCTGTTTCAGTTCTACTACGTTGCTCATTCTTTTTACAGGTAACTTCACATTAGGAATACATAATTTTGCTTCTTGACTGACCATAGTTGTTTCTCAATTTCTTTGTCTTGTTACAGCAGATCAGAACTGTAAAAAGATCCCACACTTGTTGTATACATACAATACACACATTCCTTTGTCACTCCACTCGTTTCAGGTGAAGGCCTCTTCCACTGTGCCAAGTAGCAGCTGATTAAAATTACAAGTGTTCACTATTAACAAATTATTAGTATTCAGATGACATGGCACAAAATCTTGAACTATTCACATACAGGCCTTCAGAGCCCAGAGACATTCCCTTCTACTTTGTATGTGTACACAGCACAAGAATGTTTTTCATTCCACCCACAAATATCCAGTCTTCAGGCTGTGGATACCAAACGGCGATGCTTCCTTTAATCCTGCTTGCCTTCACGCCACTGTCGAGACCCTTCATTCCAAGCTACATAGACAAAGAGAGCAAGTACCACATGAACAGTAACTACAGCAACGATGGCAGCATAAAAATAGCTGTCTCTGTTGGACATTCCCAAGGTACCTGAGAAGAGACAAAAGAGCATGTTGGACATTCCCAAGGTACCTGAGAAGACAGACAAAAAGAGACCCTCTAAATGTAAGAGAATTCTAAGTGTTTCTACTGTGACAGAACATCAAGTTGCAATTGTTTAAAGAGGCCCAATTTATTGCATGTTTATTATTTCTACATATCAAAGGTAAGAGACAGAAAGACAATAGGTCAGTTAATACCAAGACTTCACTACTATATTATAATTGGGATACATATAATGAAAACTGCTTGTTAACTGACACCTCAAAGAAAAAAGGTAACTTTTGGAAATGCAGCATTTTATATCTTTAAAATGTTCTACAAATATTCTTCTGTCTTCCTAGAATCATAAAAATCATAGAAGACTACGGTTGGAAGAGACCATAGCCGATCATCAAGTCTAACACCATCTTCAAAGCCGGACCAACCCAAACTAAACCATCCCAGCCAGGCCTTTGTCAAGCCAGGACTTAAAAACCTCTAGGGATGGAGATTCCACCACCTCTCCAGTGCTTCACCACCACCTCTTTCCAACCCACTCCAGTGCTTCACCATCCTTCCAGTGAAGTAGTTTTCCCTAATATCCAACCTAAACCTCTCCCACTGCAACCTGAGATCATTGCTTCTTGTTCTATCATCTGCCACCACTGAGAATAGCCTGGCTATCCTCTCTGGAACCTCCCTTCAAGTAGGCTGCTATCAAATCCCCCCCATTCTTCTCTTCTGCTGATTAAATAAGCCCCAATTTCCTCAGCCTCTCCTCATAAATCATGTGCCTCAGCACCCGAATAATTGTTGTTGCCCTTAGAATCATGTGCCTCAGCACCCGAATAATTGTTGCTGCCCTTAGCTAGACTCTCCAATTTGGCCACATCCTTTTCTGTAGTGGCAGCCCCAAAACAGGACAGACAAGTCTTCCTACATCAGACTTCAATGCTCAGTTGACAGGGGTGGTGTTCTTTTTTAATAATTGGGAAAAATAAGGATCAGGGGTTAAGATATTTGTCTGTGTCAGATTAATTGGCTATCGAAATTTTACATCCCTAATCGAATAGTCAATGCAATTTGCATCAACTATTCGATTAGTCGATAGGGCACCTCCACCTTTGAAGGGCTGTTGCTGTACTTCAAAAGGGAAAGGTGGTGCAGGGAGCATAGGGCTAGCAGGGGACTCAAGCAGTCTCCCGCTGACCCCGTGCTCCCTGTGACATTTCAAAGCAGCAGTGACCGTGGTCTCCATGTGGTGTTGCCACTTTGAAATACTGCGGGGAGCCTGGCATCAGGCGCCATGTGGCATTTCAAAGAGGCAGTGCCGCATGGAGCCTGGGGCCAGCTGGGGACCCTGAGCTGCACGTGGCATTTCAAAGAGGCAGACACTGGGCTCCATGTGGTGCTGCAGCCTTGAAACGCTGCATGCAGCCCTGGCTGGGTGGGCGTGCTTTGAAGCACACTCTCCTTGTCCCCATCTCCCTTGCTGTCTCTTTCTGATAGAGAAGACAAGAGGGGGAGGGGTGCACTAGTTGACCAGTCATTCATATCCCTAATGTCAGACAGAGTCAGTGGTACAGCTGTGATTAGAACTTGGGAGTTCCTGACTTACATGCTCAGGCCACTAGACAGGCAATGCTTCCTCATCAGAAGTACTGTATGTATCAGATAATACAAGGGAAACTAAATAAATGTTTTTCATCAAACAACAAGATTTAAGATACTCGAGCTATTTCCAGAATATTTTAGGCTTAAAAAGGAGTGATAAAGTGTCACTGTTAGTAGATCTTGTTATAACTAACAAAAGAGTCTTCGGCAAATTTAACATACCAAGAAAACAGGAAATCAAATAGTTTTTCCTGAATTTTTACTACTCCTCTAGCCTCAGCTTCAGACACTTGCAACTGTAAGGACCAAAGGGAACACTTTATTTTTCAGGAAGCCCTTAAACAGCCACATACTCATTAGCCCCTTGTTTATTAAGGAAGCTCTAATTTTGCCTTCAGAAAGACTTATGCAGAATCATGAAGTTCTGCCGGTTTGTCCATTTTCTCTTTTGCAGAATTAGAGAAAGGCTCTTGATTAGTTGTTAGCGATATAACAGAGCCCTGGTTCCACAGCACAAGTTTCAGACTCAACCTTCAGGAAGGTGGAGAAAATGAAATTCTTCAAACAATAGAATTCAAAATCTGAAGCACAGTGTTTGAATGGTGTTTTTAAATATAGCTGAGTATGTTTTTCAAGAAACAAAATCAGAGATGGGCTAGTGAAGGACAGAATTATTTCATTCTGAATGTCCCTTGTTGTTAAAAGAAAATTTTAACAGAACAATTTCCACACACATTACCACTGTAGCCTTCCAAGTATTCTCTACATAGCTGAAACTTAAGTCACTGAAATAAATTGGTTCTTGTTTACACCCAAAACCATGAATATCACAACCTTTAATGTTTCCTGACTCATATTCCAAGGGAGTTCTCTTTCTAATCCAATGCATTCAGTTTGTAAAAAGAAATGGATACTAGAGAACTGACAAAAAACTAGTATTTTAGATATGAGTCTTTGTTTAGCAACAGAATTACCTTCAAATACATAAACTTTTGAAGAGAAGTACAGCCCAATAGGCAATATGATCATCAGAGCTGTGAAGAACAGAAGTGTTCTTAGAGTTGATGTTAATGAGCCCTCATTTCTGAAATGAACAAGAACAGCTGTAACAATACAGAAAGTCGTGTAATATACCTGACATAATGCATCAACTTTTCTTAAAGGGGAGAAATACAAACACAAAATACAAAATTAGTTTTAAAGAACTTTCTTAGCATTTGCTCTTTGGAAGATACCAAAAATTAAGCTTTATAGTTGGTATTTAATGGTCTTATTTTCAGAATTATTTCAGAGCCAAATTCTGCCATTAAACAGTTATGATAAGAAATATCTTACATCAGTATTTCTAATGCTGGAGTCTGTGGATCCCAGAGAGGTTCCTGAGAGCATTCCATGAGGGTCCAAGGGCCCCGCTGATCAACTCCTCCTCCTCACTGCATCCTGCATGCTAAAAGTCCAGTGGCATAGATGGGCTAAGGCAGGCTTTCTACCTGCCCTGGCTCCACGCAGCTCCTGGAAGCAGCTAGTAAGTCCCTGTAGCCCATGGGAGGGGGCTGATTCCACAGCTCCCATTGGCCAGGTGAGCTGTGAGGGCAGTGCCTGCAGGCAGGTGAAGCGCATGGAGAACCCCTGGTCCCCCCACCTAGAAGCTGCTGCCAGAGGGGCATGCCAGTCACTTTTGGGAGTCATTCAAGGTAAATGCTGCCTCACCAAAGTCCGAAACCGAACCTCATTGCCCCCACTCAGAGTCTGAACCCCTGCCTGCCTCACTGAGGTGAAAGCACGGATGTAAAATTCCTTTTAATAAGTTAACTGATTAAACATTACATTTAACTGATCAAATGGGATCCCATGGGTGGGGAGCCTGACGCAAGCAGCCTCGCAGGGCACAGAGCCCAGCTGGAGCAATCCCTGCCCATGGCAGGCCATTGATGGGGGGGGGGGG